TCTTTAAAAAAAAAAAAAAGCAAAGAATGTCCATGTAACACATCCTGTCTATAGTATCATCAAATGCCATAACAACATTATGTATAAACGTCGCTTAAAAATTTAACCAACCACAAGAAAGCAATCATACAAATACAGGACATGGAACATTTCTATAGCCAAATGATCTGAACTCCTCAAAAAGTTAATGCCATTAAAAAAAAAGTGGGATGACTATTCTAGATTAAGAGATTAAAGAGATTAACAAGGGGTGCTGGGGTGGCTCAGTCAGTTGAGCATCTATTCTTAGTTTCTGCTTAGGTCATGATCTCATGGGAGCCCACCCGAGGCTCCATGCTTAGCATGGGGTCTGCTTGAGATTCTCTCTCACTCTCCCTCTGCCCCTCCCACTTGTGCTCTCTCTCTTTCTTTCTCTCTCAACTAAATAAATAAATAAATCTTTTATAAAAAAGAGAGAGACATAACAACAAACACAATCTCTGAACCCTGATTGGATCTTGGTTTAGGAAGAAAAACAGCTATAAACATGGTAGGGACAACTGGGGAAATACGAATATGGACTGAATGTTAGATGATATGGAATTATTGCTAATTTTTCCTAGATATAATGATACCGTGGTTTTGTAAAAGATGGCATTTATTCTTCAAGTGGGCCTGCTGAAGAATTTAGGAATGTAGTCCACTATCCAAAACATTAAAGCATTGACAAAGGAGAGGGCGATCAGCAGGACGATGGCCAGTTTCAGACCTGGGTTTTCAATGGCTGAATGGGCCACCTTTTTCCACTGAAGTATGAGGAGGACAGTGAAGGTGACAGGCTTTTCAAAAATCATGACCAAGATGTGAAAGCACACTGCTGGACCTGGGCTACACACTGCAGAGGGTCTCCACATTCATCCAAACGCAGGGGCTCCCACTGCTACTGCTCGACCAAGATGCTCATGGCTTGCACGCCCACACAGATGAGCAACTTGCCAAAAGTTGTGTCCCAAGAGGAAGCCAATGTGAACAAGGGACCTCTTCAATGAGATTTGCTAGGTACACATTTGCAAAGTGGATGAACAACATTTCTATAACTTGTTTGGAAGTGTCTAAAAACCATATCCTCAAAAGGGACATCTTTCATGATTTGGTTCTTTGGTTTGAGCATCAACATGCTGAAGGCCACCGCATGTAGCAGCCCTCGCAAGAAGATGCCGAAACTGTGCAGGAGTGCAAGGCTCTCGCCTTGCAGTTCCCACCAGCCTTGAGGGCAGCCTGCATGGCAGTCCCAGCTGGAGTGCCTAGGGGGCCCTGCATCCCAAGTCTGGCAGAGGAGCACAAGGCCCAGGCCACCCGTGGCCTTGCTACCTGCAGGCCACCACTCTTGTTATGATTTTAATTTGTATTTCCCTAATGATTAATGATGTTGAGTATCTTTCCATGTGCTTATTAGCCATTCATAAAACTTTTTGGGTGAAATGTCTATTCAAATCTTTCACCCCCTTTAATATTAGGTAATTTGTCTTATTATTATTGTTACGTATTCTTAATTTATTCTGGAGACAAGTTCTTTGTTGGATATGTAATTTGCAAAAATCTTTTGTCTTTTGGTTTTCTTAAGACGTGAATTAAAAGTTTTAAATTTCTGTTAAGTCCAATTTATTGTTTTTTTCTTTTATGAATCATGATTTTGGTGTCATATCTAAGCAATCTTTGCTTAACTCAACATCAAAAGATTTTTCTTGTCTTTTTTTTCCAGAATTTATGGTTTTAGCTCTTCTAAATTTATTTATTTTTATCTTTTAATTTTTTAAAGATTTTTTAAAGTAATCTCTACACCCAATGTGGGGCTCAAACTCACAACCCCAAGATCAACTGTTTCATGCTCTTCCAGCTGAGCCAGCCAGGCTCCCCAGTTCTTCCAAATTTAAATCTATGATCCAGTTGAATTAATTTTTGTGTTTAGCATGAGGTGAGGATCAAAGTTCTTTTTTTCCTCCACATATAAGAATATCCAGTTGTCCAAGTACTATTTGTTTAAAAAAAGATTACCCTTTCCCCATTGAATTTTTTTAGCAGATTTGTTGAAAATCAATTGACCATAAATATAAGTTTATTTCTGGGCTGTCTATTCTGTACCATTGATCTATATGTCCATCCTTATGACATTATCATACTGTCTTCATTACCTTAGCTTTATAATAAGGTTTGAAATCAGTGGAAGTCTGCCAATTTTGCTTTTCTTTTTCAAAATTGTTTTGGCTATTCTGGCTCTTCTGCATTTCCATATAACTTTTAGGATCAAACTTGTCAATTTCTATAAAGAAAAGAGCCTGCTGGGGTTTTGATAGAGATTACATTTGAATTTATAGATCAATTTGAAGAGAACTGTCATCTTAACAATGAGTGTTGAATCCATGAACATGGTATGTTTACTTATCTAGATCTTTTTTTGATTTCTCTCAGCAGTGTTTTGTAGTTTTCAGTATATAGGTCTTGCATTAAATTTATTTGGATTTTTCTGATGTTCTTTCATTTTCAGATTGTTCACTAATGACATATAACAATATATTGATTTCTGTTATGTAGACCTCATATCCTATGACTTTACTAGACTTAATTTTTTTAAAGCCCTCATTTCTCATGTGTAAAATGGGGATATCTACATAGCAAGATTTTCATGTGGAATAATATACATAAAACCATGGCAGAAGGATAGAAATGAAGTCTCCCAACCCTCCTCCCCCAAAATAACCGCCTAAAATTTGTGATCAGATTATTTTGAGGAAAGTGAAATGACCAGGTCTTGCCTGGTATAGAAGGCAGGAGCCTGTCACCAACAGTACTGCATCTGAATTTGCATAATCAAGGGTTTGCTGCATTTTCATTAGTACAATGAATAGATGTTGATATTTTCTATCATCTGCATTGTACTATTTTTATAATTGGAAAAAAACAAAAAATGTAATTTCTTAAAAGGTAAAAAAAAGTATGAAACTTAATTTCATAGAGAGGAAACATAAAAGGACACAGCAATACTTGAGTTCAATGTGCTGAGACCAAATAAATATACTTCAAGGAATTGTACAGTGCCAGGCACTGGGGCCACAAAAGGAAGATGTGCAATTTGTGAACTAATGCACTGTTCAGCAGACTGAGGTACCTCAACAACTACTGAAGCAGGTGCAGAGAAGACATATTTCCCTGAGGCCTCCTATCCATCCTAATTTCTCAAACTTTCAACTACTATGGCAGCTTTAGTCTATTTTATATGTTGAGTTTCCATATAAGATTAAATTTGAGGGGCACACCTGAGTGGCTCAGTCAGTTAAATGGTGGACTCTTGATTTTGACTCAGGTCATGATCTTAGGGTCCTGGGATTGAGCCCTGCCTGCATCAGGCTCCATACTCAGCAGAGAGTCTGCTTAAGGATTCTCTCTCTCCCTCTGCCCCCCCCCATGCTCCAGCACTCTCTCTCTAAAATAAATAATTTTTTAAAAAAAAGATTAAGGGGCGCCTGGGTGGCTCAGTTGGTTAAGCGACTGCCTTTGGCTCAGGTCATGATCCTGGAGTCCCAGGATCGAGTCCCGCATCGGACTCCCTGCTCAGCAGGGAGTCTGCTTCTCCCTCTGACCTTCCCCCCTCTCATGTGCTCTCTCTCTCTCATTCTCTCTCTCAAATAAATAAATAAAATCTTAAAAAAAAAAGAAAATTAAAAAAAAGATTAAATTCGAATAAAGCCACCTATGCCTTTATAAAGGTTTGAAAACCACTGGTCTAATAAAAGAACAAAATGAAAACTGAGAGGTAGCCTAGTATTATAATACTGGACTGAGGGGTTCATGATCCAAGTTTTATTCTAGTCACTGCACACGTACAGCCATGTGAAAGTCACAATTCTAGTTCTCACCTCTCAAAAATGCTGACATTTTTTCAAGATAAATTTTAATATCACTCATCCAATATTTGTTGAATGTAATAAACACAATAATATTATTCATATATCCATGGTAAACTAATTAGTGAAGAAAGAGAGTAAAGAGCATCTTGAAGGTTATGGCAAAGTCTTCATGGATGTGACAACTGGGTCTTAGAGCATGAGCAGAAGTCTCTTGATCGATTAAAAAAAAAAGGAGAGCCATTATAGGTAGAAAGAATTATACATTTAAAAGTATGTAAATAATCAATAGCTACCATTTAATAGATACTTACTCTATGCACAGAATTTTATCCTCACAACCACCCATGGAAGTAGGTTAGTATTCTTATGCATAGGCAAGGATAAATCCAAATCACAGAATTCTTGAGTGGCAGGGCCATATTTGAAACTAGGGTTGTCTGATTTCAAGGCCAAGACTCTGGGTTCAAACACGTACATACAGTGAAGAGGTGTGAAGCAACATGCTGCTGCTGGAAGGGAAGTGGTGAGCAAGGGGGCTGAAAAGGTAGGCGCTCAGTCCCGCTCACTTGACTAAGGGCAAACTGGGCAAAAAAGGGTTGGGCTGGAATTGGAGCTATCAGTATAAACGCATGACTTCATATGTGTGTATCCATCCCAGCTCTGTTCCCTGAAGAGGCCTAGAAGCAATGACACACCAACCTATGTTCAACAGTGGGGTCAGCATGGATGTCGAGGTTTGTTTCCTCTGCCTTCCACCCTCCAGGCTGTCTCCTCTCGCCACATTCCACTGCCATCTCGCACAGATCCAGTGTCCTTCACCTGCCTGTCCCTTTTGCAGACGGGTAAGTGGGCCCCTCAACTCCTACAGCGCCTTGGGCCGCAACGTCCACTAAATCTGCCGCTATTAAGGCCCCTCGAAGCTCCAGAAACTAGAAGCAATAGGAAAGAACCCAGGTGGGCGGTGACGGCTACGGCTGAGATGGAGCTGAAGCAGAAACCGGAGTTGTGGGCGGGGCCTCGACACTTCTCCATCTCTTATTGGATCTCACTACTGCCAGTTTCGGCCTCCTCCCTCCCATTCCCCCACCCCTTCCGTGCAGGCTGTACCTTAAATAGCGGGTGGGGCCTGCGGCGACTTCCGGTTGGGGGAAGAAAGTTGGGCCGAAGGAGGGGCCGCGAGGAAGGAGGAGGAAGAGGAAAGGGCCGGGCAGCAGGGGCTGTAGGTCGTTCGGCGGCGGTGGCGGCGGCTCTCTTCCGGGCGGACGATGGACAGCCAGGGCAGGAAGGTGGTGGTGTGCGACAACGGCACCGGGGTAAGCGCCCGGCGGTGAAGCCGTGGCCACAGGCCCGGGCGGGGATGTGCTAGTCGCGCGTGAACCCTCGGCGCCCGAGGTTGCACCCCTGGGCCCTCGGGCCGCTGCGACCGAGGGGCGCGGGACAGCGCTTCCGGCCTTCGCGGGCGTGGGGAGTGAGCGGACTGAGCCCAGTCCTGGTCTCCCCGACCCTGCCACCTCCGCAACTCGGGGTGAGGGCGGCGGGCAAGGCCGACGCTGGAAGGGGACCCAGTCCGCTGCCCGACGATGGCCGGCTCCGCGCCCCAATGGGAACAATTTGGCTGAAGGGCTGGAGGGGTGAAAGACTGGGTAGGTTTGTTCGATAAGGGTTCCATTTCCCAGTGTCACTGGTTCTGTAGAAAGGAGAAAGACCCAGAGGCCTTCCTCTTCCTGTGTAGTTGGAGATACCGAACGGGAGGCAGGAAACGGGTTTAAAGAAAAAAAAAGGGAAGTGCTGTCATGCAGCGAGCCGCAGCCCTTTCGCAGTTTTTGAGGGGGGGCGGCGGTTGAGCAAAGCGTCATTTACTTTTTGTTCTGCATGCTGGGAATTTGGCCTCCGTGCAGCCCCGCAGAGACAGTATGTTCTGTTGATCTTGGGAGATCTAGGACCCCTTTAAGGCCCAAGTGTTAATTGTGGACCTTGGGGGAAGTTGACCAATTTTGGTATCCCCCTCCCCCATTTTTTTCCCTTAGATGCAGAACACAGATCATGTTAGTCTTTAAGATTCAAAAAGGCAAATGATTGTAAAAATCTGGCTAAAACACTGATTTGAAAGTTGTTGCTTTCAAACCTACCTCCCCCCGCCCCCATTAAAAAATAACTTATTTGGAGTAGCACATTAGAAGATAGAAATGTTACTTATTTGGGATGAATTCTATAATGATCATTTCCCCCTACATTACAATGATTACTAACCATTTTGGAGTTGCAATATTTTGTGACTTTTCTTTTTCCATAAATGTGACGTATAAATTAAAATAGGCTTCCAGTTATGGAGTGAATAAATCACAGGGATGACAAGGACTGCATAGGAAATATAATCATTGGTATTGAATAGCATTATATGGTAGCTACACCGGTGGTGAGCATAGCATAACATAGAGTTGTCATATCACTATGTTGTACACCTGAAAAAAAAAAAGATTTTACTTGAACTTTAAAACGTTTTGGATACTGGATTGTTGAGGGGAAAAAGGGAGCTGATATTTACTGACATAATGCTGCCCTTACTGTGCTACAGACTTTTACAAGCAATAATTATACTAGTTTTATATGAACTAAGTTAAAAACACGATAGTAAGAAGAGTTACCATATAATGGGACATCCATACAAAATGGGATACTTAAAAAAATGATCCACCACTGTGGAAACATGTCTAAAATTTATGTTAAGTTAAAAAAAAGTTTTAGAATGATCCTATTTATGTGAGTGTTCTGGGTCCACAGACTTGTACATGAAAGTTTTAGAGGGAGAGGTATGTTCGAAGCGGTTAGTTGGTGAGCCTGGGGGATAAGAGTGAGGGAAGATGGGAAAGACTTCATGACTTCTGAATTATTGGGAAGTGTTCAGTTTTGTTTCTTAACAAAACATGTGAGACTGTCTTTAAACCAAATTAACTATAAACATTTACTTTTTTTTTTAAGATTTTATTTATTTATTTGACAGAGAGAGACACAGTAAGAGAGGGAACACAAGCAGGGGGAGTGGGAGAGGGAGAAGCAGGCTTCCTGCCGAGCAGGGAGCCCGATGCGGGGCTCGATCCCAGGACCCTAGGATCATGACCTGAGCCGAAGGCAGATGCTTCACGACTGAGCCACCCAGGCGCCCAACATTTATTACTTTTACAGCTAAAACTCAGTTAAAGGTGCTTTAAAAAAAAAAAAAATAGTAGCCTGATTCCCCCTGTAGTCTCAAATTGACCTCTAAATAAATTTAAAACTTTAAAAATGGAATTTAAAATATTTTTAAAAATATGCCTGATACTTTCTTTAGAAATCAGAGCCATTATATTTCAATGGATTCCTCCTCTTTGACGGATAACGAGCTCTGTATTTGTAGTGTATGAGTTTTTCCATTCAATTAGAATAGGATTGTTAGCCATGAGTTCATTTTTGTTACTATTTCATTAGTTTACCTGAGTTAGAAAGCTGATTATATGTTAATGATTAGGCTTATGGCTAATCCATAATTTAAGAATCTTGTATCTTAAGAGACCAGTAAAGGAAAAATGTACTTAATTTGAACAAAATTTATGTATTTGGTGTTACATTTCTAGTTACTTTAAAATTTTATCCGGATTTTCTATAGACATGATTGGCTTCAAATGAAGAAACAGTTCCAATGTAATATGTAGCTAGGAATGCTGTGATATTTCTGAAAATTTAGAGGATTCTAAATACAGAAATTCTCTATTTCTTACTGCTTATACTTCATAGTCCTCTTGATTTTGTTTAGGTACCTGAAGCTATACTGAGTTATCTACAACTAAATATTACAGAAGGTGTTCAAATTTAATTTCTAAAAACTTGTGTAAATAGTTATTACCCTAAAGTAACTGGCCTCTTACACATTTTAGGTTTTAGACTTACAGGCTCTTTGAGAAATTGATTTTTTTTTACTAGGCCTTAATTGGAATGCTCTGAGTGGGTGAGTCTTATGATCACATGCTGGTTGTGAGAGGCCCAAATAGACCAGGGTCTCTCTTTAGGGTGGCCTAGAGGAGGAAAACTTACCTGATTACAATAAATTATGCATTTCACCTTCATAACCATTCAAACTTAAAATAGCGCTTCCATGTAAATAGAGCCACTGAAAATGGCCAGACAGATGAAAATCTGGAGATTTGCTTAGGTTTAGGTGTCTTTCAAGAGTTGGGTCCAGGCCCCTGGTGTGTATTGCTACCAAACTTGGGTGATCTCATCAGCATTAAGATAGTTCACTGACAGGGAAGACTCCTGTGCTTAATGTGTGACTGGTAGAATTTTTAGGGTCTAATAATACAAAGTAGCTTATAGTGCTAGGATAATTATGCTTTCATTTATAATTCTCACTTTTGTTGTTGCTAATAGCGTGCTTTATCAGATTTATCCTAGTTTATATGTTGAATTTAGTAGTGCTTGAAGTAGGAACAAACCAGAAACAAATTTGGCTTCACTCTGCAAAATGCTTTGAAATAGAATAAATATTTTTGTGGCTTAAGATGAGAATAATCACTAGGCAATTAAATTAATGAGCATATCAATACCATCAGATTAAATTAATAAAGGAAAAATACAAATTAAATAAGCTCAAATGGATTTATAAATCCCAGTTTATTTTTTGGGGGGAGAAAGGTACTTTTAGAGCAAATGTAGTTGCATTTTTTTCTGCATTTTTGCTTGAAAGAACATTATACTGTTCACGTTCTTACCATTTGATGACTCAGTGGCTAGTAAGGGAGCCAGTTCAAACCACAGTGCTATGAAGAGGAAACTATATATGGTAAAATCTATTTCTTAAACACAGCCTTCTTGCACACAATGAGAGAACGAAGTCCAAGTCTTAAAATGATTAGACTGGGGGAGGTATTGCAAGGTTAAAATGATACCAGATGAGTAGTTTAGAAAAGAATATTTTGTTTGCATTTTATCACATGAATTAGATTTTTTTTAAAAGTACTGACTTTTTGCAAGAAAGGAAATGGCAAATTGTGTCTTCATTTTATGTTATTAAGAAATAGATTATTTTAATTAAATTCTTGTTATTATAGGTATTAATGCTTTCACATTTGAAATAATGTGAAATAGTGCAGCTCTTGTCATTTTGACCGAGTATCTAATACCCTGTAGAAGTGCTAGTGCTGGATTACTAGGCAGCATCCACTTCCAGTAAGCTACTGCTTAAGCTGAATAAGTAATTTCATTAATAAGTGATTGATATGTTTAATTTGAATTAAATGCCAACTTTCCTTATTTTGTAAAGCACAGGAATAAGTGGGTTTACAATTGTTTTTATAATTTCAGGGGGTCTCATATTTCAAGGAGGTCTTTTTACCTTGGTCACTTGGCAAATATTTCATCCCTTAAAATATGCTCAAACAAGAATTTTAAGATATAAACCACCCATCTGAACATTTATAATCAGTAAACATTGACAAATGTGATTATTTATATATTTGCCATATTGTGTATTTCTGAGTTTGTGTAGTTCAGAATGAGAGGGGAAGCATGTCAACCTTCACAGCCTCCACCCTGCACCAGGTTTTGATTTATTTCCCATGCCGGCTCATCCTCCCGCTTCTATTTTTAATATGATTTCTCTCTTAAATCATTTGCTTGTATTTAATATGCTGAAGATGGCCCTTACAAACTTGTTGATTCTTTTTTCAGCCATTCATTCTATAATTTTCTTTAAAAACATTTATAACTATATAAGTGAGCATTTTCAGCCTGGAAGGGACACTTTTGACCCACCCAGTGTCCTTATCTGTTCATTATTTTGAGGTAAATGTAAGAATTTAATATCTGCTTTCTGTATTTGGAATATAAGGTAAATTATGACTAATGCTGGTATTAGGCTGATGATCATGATAAATTTTATTCATATAGAAATTTGGGTATGGTTAGGGCACATGGGTGGCTCAGGTTAAGAACCTGACTTCGGCTCAGGTCATAATCCCAGGGTCCTGGGATCCAGCCCCACATCGGGCTCCCTGCTCAGCATGGAGCCTGCTTCTCCCTCTCCCTCTGCCTGCAGCTCCCCCTGCTCGTACTCTCTCTCTCTGTCAAATAAATAAATGAATTCTTAAAAAAAAATTTATTCGTATGTCATCATATCCTACTATTGCCTTGAAAGATAATCCAGTAGGAATTGTAATAGTTTTAGAAACGGGTAGCTATGACTGAAAACTACCCTAGCCTTGGTGGCTCAGAGGTTAACAGACCAGGACTAGGTTTTGTGGGTTTGGAAGAAAATGTATATGAGCAGTATGTTTTATGTAGATTCTAGAATGTAAATGTGAACTGAGAGGATAGGAATTCAGGTGGTATTTCAGACAGATTTTTCATAGCTTTAATCTGCATAAGTCATGACTTTAACATATTTTAAAAATTCTATTTATAGAAGACTTGAAATTCACTTGAAATTCTGGATGGCAGAATGTTCTAGGCTATTTATAATTAAATGTGGTTCATCAACATTTCCAACAAGGTTGGTGTTAGAGATCTTTGAAATATGAAAATTCTGTATTTTGGCGGATTACTCAAAAGTCAGTAAGTTTAAGATTGTTGCTAAGTTTTACCACCATCAAATAAAACAGTTCCTTGTACAAAGTAGCTTTCTGTCAAGGGGTAGGTTAATAGTTTCTGTCAACCTTTTTGTTATTATTGTCATGTGTCACACTCAGATACTGTTTTTCTCCTTAATTCTTTTCAGAGAATATATGGTGCCTGGAGCCATGAAACAATGTACTTTTTCTCAACATGAAACATATTCTCTGTATTAAAATAATCCTAGTATCGTACTCCCAAATCAACAGCAAAACTTTTAATTTTTATTGATCATTTATATGGTATGCCCTTCCGATGTGCCAGACACTGTTCTAGGCACTTGAGATTCATCAGTAGACACAAAAATCCTTATACAATATAACTTACATGAAAAAGACTTGTTAAAGAAGAGGGTAGAGACTATGATTACATTTCCTGGTCTATAGCTTCTTCCTCCCACACTGAAGTTTTGAATTGCATTTTCCTTGCAATGTCTGCTCTTAAAAATAAGACTGAACAGACTGTATTATTGGTACAAAAATTAAAAACCCTTGGTTCTGTTTTACTGTAGTTGTTAAATCACTTAGCGTATCAGTTTCTTACAAAGTATTATCAGAGTCATGTTATGCCCTCTCTGGAGAAGTACACTATCCGAATATAAAATTCTGGTTACCTGGTATTACTAAATACATATATCTAAATATAAAAGTGTAAACAGTCAAAAATGCCCAAAATGTTTTTTTTAACGTGATGCTAGTCCAGATGCCATTTTCTCCCACGCTTTGGTTAAATGTTGCTTAAGTGAATTGCCAGAGATAAATGAAAGCCTGCTTTAGAATTGAAGCATTAGGTCTGTTCAGTTTCTAACATTTCTCTTTTTAAAAAATTCTTAGCACTTGTTGAGTGAATCTGTCCATTTCTCACTTGTGTGACCACTGCGTGCTAAGATCTTTTTGAGGCATTAGACTCCACCATGAACTATGAACTGCTCAGCTTAAGCTTCCTGCTTTCCTGAGACTTTCCCTATAGTGGGGAGTCTTGCGCACTAAATAAGCAGTGAACTGGTAAATAAACATGAACTCTTAAGTAGTCAATGCCATAAAGGAAATAAAAGGAGGATAGGATAGATTGGGTAACTACTTCAGATAATTTGAAAGCACCAAAAGTTTAAAATATTGTATAAATGCAAAGTGGTATTTTCCAGATGCTGTTTTTAAATGGACATGGTAAATACCTTGACACTAACCCACTTTTACTGTTCTCTTCCAGTTTGTGAAGTGTGGATATGCAGGCTCTAACTTTCCAGAACACATCTTCCCAGCTTTGGTTGGAAGACCTATTATCAGATCAACCACCAAAGTGGGAAACATTGAAATCAAGGTAATATTTTATTTATTGATAAATGAGGATCAAAACTTGTGGGGTGTTCTTTGAATTAAGTAGTTTTAAGATACGATACCATGAAGAACAAACAGGCAGAATATCTTATTTTTAATTTATATCAACACTTGAAGACACAAAAATTGAAATGCCATTACTGTCTGAATGGAGTAAAACTCTTATTAATAAGATTTTTATATTGATGTGACTATTGTATTAGGGACTTAAAGCCCTTATTACATATAATGTTTAAAAGAAATAAGCCTGATATTTTTGTCTTTCAGTTCCATATGTTTTTCATTATATGTTAGTATCTATTTGGGACCTAAGACTTTTGCTTCCTTCTCATGCCCTGATCCTCCTACTTTTTAATGTAACTAGTCAGGAAAACACAGGCTATAAATCTTATTGGTTCCTTTTTTCACTAATATAGTAACTGATTTCCATAATGTACAGAAAGAAGCAGTGCAAGTCTTGAGTTGGCCTTGCATTATTTATCTTACTGTAAGGAGAGAGGAGGAAGGTTGTCATTGCCTACTCACTGTACTTAACATGAGAGACTGGACATTAAGGATGATAGATTTTTCTCCGTACTAAAGGAATTGGAAATCAAGTGGGAATTACAATATTTTAAAAGAAAAAAATAGAATAATCAAAAGGACAGCGGTCACCAATTGACTTAAATTCTTAAGGTGGCCTAGGGATCAGATTATAAAAAATGCAGTCGAATTTAGGGGCCCTTTTATTGAATTATTTGTGAACAAGCTGGCATTGTTGGTCCTATCTGGACAGTCTTTGGCAGAACTTCAGTTAGATTATGAGTCATTTGAAATAGGAGTTAAGTGTACCTCTTTGGGATATTTGTTTGAGATATCTAGGAAGGTAGTAATAGCTAGGAGATATTTGCTACTTGGTAGCTCTCTGCTCTTGGTACTAGAGAATTGAGTTACACAATGAATACAAATGCCAACTGAAACTGAGGTTCTGGGTTAAATTTTTAAAGACTTAAGGTAGTGAATGATTCTGGCCTCTGTTTTGTTATTTTACAATCAAATGGGACATTCGGTATGATAATTTTTTTTCAAGGTCTTTTGGGAAATTTTGGGGATACCTTATTCTCTTTTTGTGAATGCCTTTCATTCTGATTGAATTTAATCTTAAATGAACGACTTAAAATTTAGCCGATACTTGTGATAAGGACAAACTTTTTTAATGAAGTTGGAAGTCACACATTTTAGTCAGTATCAGGCTTTTAAAGAATGTCTCTTTTTTATATACTTTATGGATAATAACATTTTTGAGGTGTACAGATACATCATATATAACCATTTTATTCTCTAACATGGCACAAATGATTATGTATCTTTTCACTCCCACTTTCTTGCTTTTTAAGGCCAAGTGATAGAAATGAAACTAGTCTATATCCTAAGACATTTTTGCTAAGGAATTCCCCAGTAGCATTTGCTTGTATGGTTTGTCATTCTGTGTTCTGTTGGCTCAGTTCTGTTCAATCTGCTCAATCTTTTAAATCTCTCTAGTTAATTTGTTCTTCCAGTAGAAAACAGTAAAAGAAACCTGTGTCAAATTTAACTTGACTACTAGAGCTTAGAAAAAAACCACTCTAAACTCACCCTCTACCTACTCAGCTAGACCTTTTCTGTTATTTAATTTCCTTAATTAAGGTTCTTAAATTCAGTAATGAATTAAAGAAACTTGACTTTTTGGAATTCCTATGCCTAGTGGATTGACTTATACTTTTGTGTTTTGTTAGCTGAAATGTGATAGACTAAAAACTGGAAATTTAAATTGTTTAATGAGTTAATTTTCATTCAGGAGTAATAACTGTCCATGTTAATTTGGCCCTAATTATTAACTCCGTAAAATATAGTACTGCATCTGACCTCTACCTAATTTGTCTCTATTGCTTGTATGTTTAAAAATTTCAGTGAGGATTTTATTTAGGCCTTTTCTGACTCTTACTTCTACCTTCTCTTTCTTCACCTTTCTTGACCTGTTGAAGTAGAATAACAAAAAGATGGTAAGTGAGGTTACACACATGCTCTCTGTTTGTTTTCCACTTTTGCTTGATGGAACAGTAGTTGTTGTTTTGTGTCCCTGTAGTATTGGGGAGGGGGGCAATTCCATATTTTAATTTTAAGTACTTTGATTTTTAACCTTTTTCATTGCTTCAATTTGGTAGCAACTAATTAAGTCCTATACTTTCCTGATTGCATACAATGGACCAAACCAGAACTAATTACTAACATAGTTTTGAATTGTTTTCCTTGTGTTTCTTGTAGATAAATGTTATAATTAAAATGGAATGTGGTGTGCATAATATTAGAAACCAAGTAGCTTTATTTAGAATATGTGTGATCCAGAGAATTGGGGTGAAGTTGTTACATTTGGATAAATTGGTTTTATTGATCAATGTTAAATTGAACATTACCTATCATAGTCTGTATGTATTTGCATCCAGTCGGGTAGCAAATGTGTAATAAACTGAGTAAAACTATAATATGCCAATAACTATAGATAGTAGAAAGGGAGGAAAAGAGATTGACTTGTTTCCTATACCATTTTTATTGATGAGCAGATTTTTAGAACATTATCTGAGGATAAATAAGAAAAATGTGAAAGTCTTATAAGACTTTTCCATAAACAGCAGATCTTCCCCCTAAAGAAATAACATTGTGTGGCCCCTTTTTCTTTTGAACTAAAGTGCAGGGCACATCCCAGACAATGCACTCTTCTTTATATTTTTCTGTGACAGTCCTTAAGTGCTTCAATAGTAGGTATTTTCAGGTTTGTGTGTTTTTGATATTATTTGTAAGCAGTTTTGACAAAGATGAGGCATTTCTAGTGATTTATATTTTAATTAGTAAGAGTATCTTTGTGGAGTTTTCTTTTGGATAAATGAAAACATTTAAATCTGGAAATTCCTGTATTTATACTAAATAAAAGATCATGCATTAGTCTTAAAATCTTGAGATTAAGTGTATACTTTCAGAGAACAGTGTAGGCTTTATTAACAAACTTTTTTAATGGAATTTCCTTCTTAGGGATTTAATTGTGGTTTTAAAGTATGTTCACTCTGTTTTCCAATTTGAGGTGACATTGTTCAGAATAATTCTTGGCAAATATAATCTACACTGCCTGCTTTTCGTAAAAGATAAATGCTTTTGAAAGAGCATCTCAGACAGTTACTGTGATTTCTCATTCTCTTAGGTAACGGGTGGTAGTTCAGGCTTGAAGTCCAGGGATGAGGTGGGTGGTAAAAATCTAAGGTTCTGAGGTATGAGGGCAAGTTACATAAAGCTCTTGGCATTTATAGTTCTGGGAAGTTGAAATGTTCTAGGGAAGATTATATGTTTTATGATTTTTTAAATTAAAATTTTAGATACAGATAAATATTTTAACTGTCCTTCCTCTTTGTTCAGAGGGATTGTAAAATATTCAGTGCCAGATGTTTCTTTCAGTTAATTCTTTATGTATGCTCTAGAAGTAGATAGATGAGGCTTTTATTTTGAGTTGGTATTGGGTCAGACATATGTAAATCCCTATTCTTGCATGGAAATAAAAGTAAATATTCTGATGAAATCAAATCAGACTTACTGTAAATTTGATGAACTATAGTTGTGAATGTATATTGATTATATAAGCCATCTAATTAATTTATTAACTTTGTACAACACATAGAATGATACATTCTAGAGGAAAGTAAGTAACAAAATTGTGTTTTATATTTGTTAATGGTTAAAAGTAATGTATGTTCTTGTAGGTATAGATTCCCCCCTAATTTTTTATTAAATATTTAGAACGTATAGCAAAGTTGAACGAATTTTACAGTGAAACGCATACACCCATCACCTAGATTCTGACATTAATATTTACTCTACTGACATATTACATATTTATTCATCCCTCTATTAATCTGTCTCGTTTTTTGGTGTATTTCAAAGTATCAATGTACTTCTCCTAAAGTAATTCAACATATGTATGTCATTGACTAGAATTCACAGATGCAGATTTTTAATTTTCCATTTTCCTATCAGATGATTTTAAACAGTTAATATTTAAGAAATTTGAATATTTAAGTTATGGTAAATTAACTTTATAAGAAATTAGTTGCAACAGAGAAGTTTTCGTGAACGTTTCTGGCATCTGCTTTAACTTTGTTTTTCCTTTTTGTTGTTGCTTTCAGTGGATTTTCCAGAAATCTTTTTTTGAGCCCTCACCCTGGTTTACCTCTAATGTTTTTTTAAATTGTTATTTTTAAAAGTTTTAAACTCATATATATTTAAACCTTATTTTGAGACATTTTATGTTAATGTTTCTTCTCATTTCCTCATGTTTTAGATTTATGGTATTGTAGCAAACAGTAGCTATTTCTGATAGCTTTTTTAAGTTGATTTTATCAGTATATGTAGAAATCAGGATTATTTCATATCTTGACTAGCTGACTTTTAAAATAAGCTTAAATTCTATGACATCATTAGCCTTATTATACATACAAAATTTGACTTTTCAAATGTGGGTCATCTTAAGTATGCTCTCCTTGGAGACAAGACTTGTGAGTACTCTGCTTCTTGTGTGCTAGCATAGTTTTCCAGTATTATACTTTAAGGTTGGAAATGTTGCTCATGAGCTAATTTTTAAAAATTGTTTCCCTGTGTTTTAATTTTTGATGTCTCTACAAATTTCCATTGATCTTGGTGAGGCATATATAGAGACTTAATTTCAATTCTGAGGCATGTGCAGGTAGAAATTTGTGAAATTTGCAAGTTATGTGGTGCATATCTGCATTATTACAATATAATAAAGAATCATTTAATTTTTAACTTCTTTCATTATGCTTTGTAGTACATTAAGACGTATCATTTACACTTACTATTTCAGTATTTAGTACAAAGAACTGCTGCATGCATTGAGCATTTTTCTACAAGTTTTTTTTTTCCCTGATGTGCTATTTCACATATCACAGGCCTTATTTTTTGAACATTTGAGCAAAAGAAACAGATGAAACCTCATACAAAACCCTCCAAAATATGAAAATGTGGGGTTTATTTGTGCTAATGCTCTTCTTTTGGAAACATTTATATTAAAGGTAAGGTCCATTTATTGATTTAACCCACGTTGTACATAAGAATTTTTATTATTCATGATTAAACTTTCCAAGGCATTGTTCTTGAAAGAAAAGATTTTTTAAACTTGTGGAATGAAGAACTTTATCTGAAAGTGCCAGAAAAATTAAAATTAAATTATTCCCAAGTTTTCCAAAATATCATGGGAATGTAATTTTCTGAAGATATTTTATGCAAAAATTTGGCCTAAAGCCTTGATATTATAATTTTCTAGGATCTTATGGTCGGTGATGAAGCAAGTGAATTACGCTCAATGTTAGAAGTTAACTACCCTATGGAAAATGGCATAGTACGAAATTGGGATGACATGAAGCACCTGTGGGATTATACATTTGGACCAGAGAAACTTAACATAGATACCAGAAATTGTAAAATCTTACTCACAGAACCTCCCATGAACCCAACCAAAAACAGAGAGAAGATTGTAGAGGTAAGTGTTTAAATGGGATGTGTATGTATGTGTTTCTGTGATGTGACATTATAGCAGATGTTCTTTCTTTTACCATTGTTAAGGATAAAAGGAATGAAAATAATTGTTCCCCCCCCATCCTATTTACTGAGCACCTAACTAGTCATTATTTCTAAATAGGCTATATCAGTAAACAAAACCAAGTCCTGCTGCCATGGAACTTATTTTTCTGGCAGGTGACACCCACCCCACACCCCCACCCCACCCCTGCCACCCACAAAGTGAGTTAATTGAATGGTTTGTTAGAAGATAATAGATGTTAAAGAGGGGGAAAGAGCAGGTTTAGGGGGTTGAGGGGGTTATATTTTTCATAGGGTGTGAGAGTAGGCTTCTGAGAGAAGGTGATATTTAAAGAATAAGGGAATCAGCCAGGATATGTGGGGGAAAAGCATTCCAGACAAAGGAAGTAGCTAGGCAGTGTGAAGGTCTTAAAATGGGAAAAACCTGGTGTATTAGAGAGTCAGCAAGGAAGCCAGTATGGGAGAGCAACAGGGGATGAGGTCAGGGAAATAATAGGACAGGATAATCTAGGGCCTTGCAGGCCCTTAAAGAGAGTTATTCTTTTACTCTGAGCGAAATGTCCTTTCTGTGTTAGGGACATGCTCCAGTTTAGGTTTCTGTGGCCGCTGTGTTGTGAGTAGACCATAAGGAGGCAAGGGTAGAAGAAAGACCAGTTTGAAGACTTTCAGTTATCTAGGCAAAAGATAATGGTGGTTAGGATTAGGGGTAATAACAGCAGAGGTAAAGAGAAGTGGCCAGACTAAATCTGTTTTGAAGGTAGGGCCAAAGCATTTTGTAATGCATTAAATATGGGTAATAGAGGGGAGAGTCAGGGATGACTCCAAAGGTTTTGGCTTGGACACCTGGAGGATGACATTACCATCAACTGAGATGGGAAAAGACTGAGATAAGTAGAACAGGATTTGAGGGGAATGGATCAGGAGTTCAGTTTTGGACATGGTAGGCCCGCATTAGACATCCAATCAAAAATGTCAGGGAGATAGAGGTATTCCCCACTTTTCAAAAGTTCATGTTATGCCACTTCACTTTTACCAAAGACCTACATTAGTACCTGTTTTCACTAACTGAAAGAGGCCAGAAGAGGATTTTCACCTATTTGAAAAGGGGGGAAAAGCGAAAACTGCATTCAGCATTTGTTTTGCAGCGAGCTGTTAGAGGCAGCGTGCACCCAGAGCAGCAAGAGGGGCCCCGCCAAACTTGTACCCCAGAACTACACTCAGCATCAAGGCGCCATAGCTTTGAACTGTGTCTGTGAGCATCTGTGCTTTATCTCGTTTTATTCTGTGCATCCATTAGCAAGATGTGTCCAAGAAAAGCCTAAGAGGTTATTTTTGGGGTTTGGGAACACTGAGTTTTCCATATAAACTAATGGTAACTGCTTCTTTGATTTACAACATTTGAGCTTTACCTAAGATTTCCATATGAATGCTCTACCTTTCGGATAGCAGGGAAACCTGTAAAAGATGAAGTTCAGGAGAAAAGTCTGAGGCTGGAGATAGAAACTTGGCCGTCATCAGGATATAGATAATCCATTCACCAGGAAAATGGGAGCAGACAGTGATGAGAAGGCTAAGGACCAGGGAGGTGGGAGTTAGCGAGAGGAGCTTGAAGGGCTCTAAGGGAAGCAGGTACGGAAAGCAAGAAGTCTGCATTGTTCATAGTTTAGATAAGTAACTTTTCAAGGTTCTCTTTCATTATATTTTGTTTTATATGAGGTAGGAACTGTATGTCTTTGTCTTTTGTTATATATGAGGTAAAAACTTAGAATAATTTTTTCTGTCTTAGTAGCTTTGCAGATACTACTTAACGTAAATAATTCTGTTTTACTCTATGACCATATTTCGGTGTTGATGGAAATTTTGGAAGGATTTTAGAAAAGATTGTTGCTAGACAATATTTTTTAATTCTGGATTAAAACTCAAGTTTTATGTTAAGTGTTTTAAAAATTTAAGATCCTGGTTTTAGTTACAAAATCCATGTCATTCCTTATGGCTTATATCTTACTATTTCCCCCTCCGGAGCAGCCCTAGAGCTGTGACACGTGGCCCTTGTTATATTAGTTCATATTTTAGTTGCAACTTATTCTTTCTGAATGACTTATAACTACTAATACTTTGTGATGGATAAGTAGTCATTTGTAATGGTATTTATTTTTAGCAGTGCATTGTAAAATCAGAGTAGAGGTACTTTTGCATTAAACCAAAAGGTTCCTCCTACACATGGAAACCCCTTTAGGAAAGCAACGCAACATCAGAATGAAAACCAAGTTTCCTTTCAGATGAAAAGTTAGGGAGATGACGTTATACCTGGGTACCTCTTCCTAGCCAGCTATTTGACTAGGGCATGTATTTATTTTTTTTTAATCTGCTAGAATGACAAGAATTGTTCTCATGTGCTATAAGGTCTCACCTTATTTTAATACTCTTCTACGTGCGGGTGCAAATTTGGCTGTGACTGATAATGCCCTACTTTAATCTCATCCAGAAAGTTGATTTAGTACTACAATTACTTTCTAATTATCTTAAAAATAAAAACAAATTCTAATGGACTTTCAAGATGACAAACGCAAATACAGCTTCACTCTTCTGTTTTCTCCCCTGTGGTGGGGAAATAAAGGATGATGGAATAGAATACTGGGTAGAATATCTAGTTGCTTAATTGATGAATATGTGTTTCAGAGTAAGAACATTTAAATCCTATGTAATTCTCATTGTGATCAGTTACAACATTTCTAGGTGTCTAGATTTACAGAGTGGTAGTCAGCCCTGCCAGTCAAGGAGTGCTCACTGTAGATGACAGAAAAAGTCCTCCAGGATGTTCCCAGCCCACCTGGACTACAGAGAATGAGCATGGTTGTGAATAGGGAGGGCGCAAGGAGACTCGTCCCTTTATTGTAGCTGGAGCACGGCGCCACAGCTGGGGCTCAAAGCTGGAAGGGTGGGCAGAACAGCTAGGCAGTTTCTGTATCTGCCAGCATTCAGGAATTACTGCATATATTTTTGTCTTCCTGCCCTGCTGGTTTACTACTTTCTTTCTTTTTTCTTTTTTTTTTAACTGTTGGAGGTAGAACTCCAGTCTTGGCGCAGGTTAGGGGAGAGGGGCCAGCAGTTAAGCAATTTCTGTAGTTCGTCCTTGAATTAAAAGATATTTTCATTAAGGGACATCATTAAGAAAGGCTTGTTCAAATGCAGAAATCTTTCTTCCACTCTAGCCATTAATTAAAACATTCAAAAATCTTTGCTTTGTAGCACTTACGAAATACTTGAGGACTCTATATATCCAAAAATCTCTTCCCTACAATAGAGCTCTGTGACAGCTGAGGAGAATGAAGGACTCTTTTAGGTCCCTTTTGATTCTGTTTTGGCAACTAATCTACTCTGTGACCATCAAGAAAGCATAAAAATATTTACTATGTAACTTCTAAATACCAGCATTTCTTTCTTTCCTTTTGCATTTTCAGGTAATGTTTGAAACTTACCAGTTTTCTGGCGTGTATGTAGCTATCCAGGCAGTTCTGACTTTGTATGCTCAAGGTAGGTGAAACTTAACTTTTAGAATAATCAATTCAGCAGACATTAAGTGCATTTTATTTGAGTTTTCAATAGTTGGAAATCCCAGAAAAGCACAGTATTTATATATTTATTTAAATATTTTAAAATATTCAAATATTTTCATAATTTCTAAAGTTTGTAAAATAAAATATCACATATTTTTATTTCCTTCATTAAGCAGTGAAGGACAAGGTAAAAAGAGAACTCAATTTTTAAAAAGTAGGAGATTCTCTCTTAGACTATTTTAAAGTAAAAATTTTTATGCAGTGAAGAACGAACATGGAATTTGTCCTTAGAATTGTCAGAGTTGGGGACCTGGGTGGCTCAGTCTGTTAAACATCTGCCTTTGGCTTAGGTCATGATCCCAGAGTCCTGGGATCAAGTCCAGCATCGGGCTCCCTGCTCAGCGGGGAGTCTGTTTCTCTCTCTGCCTGCCGCTCGCCCTGTTTGTGCTCTCTCCCTCGCTCACTGTCTCTCTCTCAAATAAATAAAATCTTAAAAAAAAATTAAGAATTAGCAGAGTTAAAAAAAAAAATACATAAAAGTCCAAAAGGGTTAGTATAAAATCACACTTGTTGTATACATAGTAGAGGAGAAGGTAGACATTTGGAAGTGCCTTCCTAACTTTTATGTTTTGTTGGTGCTGCCATTAGTAACTGCCTTCCTTTCTATTGAGAATAAAAATTGGCAGTGTGGGGAGAGCTCTTCCTATTCTGATCGTCTTATTAAGAGAATTTATGGGGCTGTCAGATATGTGCCACACAGCCTGTTAGGCACTTAAAATGTGAAGATTCCCTCAAAAAATTTAGAGTCTGTTCAGGAAAAAGATACAGAACAGATAATTTTGACCCAGCATGGCAGAGACGGTTTCTGAAGGAGGTGACACCTGAGCTAAGTCTTCAGCCTTAGTAGTTAGCTGTGTGTATGACATAGTACTTAGAAAACTCACTTTAATACTGTGGTGACCCATCTAATTCTAAACATGGATTAGTAAAAATCACCTTGTAAAAATATACATTGACTCATTAAATTGTCTTCAGTACTACGTATAGATACTTAGGAAATACCTGGGGGAATTAAATTTTCAAAGAAGCTTTGTTCATTCAGAGAGTGGAATGTACCTTGTACTGTGTTTAGTGCAGAGGCTGTGGCAGTGAGTAAGCTAGACGTGGTCTTCTTGACCTTAAGGTGATTGCATTCCAGCTGTGAATAATTTTCTTTTGAAGAAGGAACTAAAAATCACTTGTTACTTTGCAAGGAGTGTTTACCTGCACCGAGGTAATTTTATTTCATTTTTAGAAATTATTTTAGAAAATACTTTGGAAAAAATAGGTATTAAAAATTTTGAATCTAAGCTTTGAAACTGGTAATAGTGATTTTGTTTAGGTGGTGAGGATGGGCAGTTCTGTTGAAGTGAATTTTTGTTTAAATTGTATTTGAATAAAACTGACCTTAATGGATTTTTCTAGCAGTATTCATACATTTATTTTCATCCAGTGAGAAGATACCCTCTTTTAATTCCTGACATTTAATCATTTTTTGTTTAACTGTTGAATCCTTAATTTTGACAAATGATAGTCCAGTAAAGATCAAAAGAACTCTGACCCACCATAAAATTCTCCTTCTAAACAAGGTGGCTAGGGCTACCAGTTAAACGAAGGTAGGAAGAAGCATTCGGAGCCATGGGAAGGGTTGTGAATAAGAGAAGTGACACGGTGAGTTAGGAAGCTATGTTTGCCTGCATGCTACAGATAGGATTGAAAGGAATAACTGGAATTAGGGAATCTGGAGGTTAGAGTTGTCAGGAAAGGTGTAAATGGAAAGGTATGAATTCGATTGAATCTTAAAGAATCCATAGGAATCGAAGTGGAAAGAATGGATACTCCAGTGACAAAAATGGTATGGCAGTGGAAATGGGTCAAATGTGTACAGGGAAAGGCTAGTCTGTAATCTGGTGGGAGTGGGAGAAAATAAGCTGCAGTTGGATGGGAAGGTCTGTTTGGAAAATAAAATGTCAATCTCAGCTTTAGTTGCTATTACTGGGAGTGTTTTTGAATTAATGATGTGGATTCCTCTATTTTGCAATGAAATGTTTCTTGTTGAAAGGAATGTGGCATTAAAAGGCAGTAGATGATTTTTATGAAGCTTTTTGTGAAGATTTATATACACCATCAATCATGGAAAGACATTATGTCATCTTCAAAAGGAGGTAGATTGAATAAATGTATCAAAGATAAATCATTATGATGAAATACTGTAGTGCATTCAAGTTTGTATTAAGAAAGGGAGAGAGCCTATTCAGGGATGTGAAAATGATAATGGTTAAGAAAGTTACAGACATTGTGTATTCTATAAGGTTAAATTTTTTTGGTTAAAGCATTAGACTATTGGGGGGTGGGAGGGATGGGGTGGCTGGGTGATAGACATTAGGGAGGGTATGTGCTATGGTGAGCTCTGTGAATTGTGTAAGACTGATGAATCACAGATCTGTACCTCTGAAACAAATAATACATTATATGTTAAAAAAAAAAAAAGGAGAAGAATGAAGGGGGGGGAATCGGAGGGGGAGACAAACCATGAGAGACTATGGACTCTGAAAAACAAACAGGGTTCTAGAGGGGAGGGGGTGGGGGGATGGGTTAGCCTGGTGATGGGTATTAAAGAGGGCATGTTCTGCGTGGAGCACTGGGTGTTATACGCAGACAATGAATCATGGAACACTACATCAAAAACTAATGATGTAATGTATGGTGATTAACATAACATAATAAAAAAAAATTATTAGACTATTAACTATTACAAAATTTGAGTTCAAAAAAGTTTTGTTTTAATTAACCCTAGTGCAGAAGGTAACTTTTGCAGTCATTTGTACTTTAAATAGTATGTATGGGAAACAAGGCAGCTTCTTTGCTGTTCTTTTATTATAAGGTTTAACTGATACTGTCTTTCTGGTTTCTGGTGAATAATTGAAGTGATCCTTTGGCTAGCCAAGATTAATTGTCTCAAATTTCCAGCTATCTAGTATCAATAGGAATTTTTCCAAACCCAGTTTTGAATATATATTATATGACAAAAATAATAAGTACATTATTTCAACAGGTTCACTATCAACTTGTGTAGTTTTTATCTCTCACAATGGTTTTCCTAAAAGTTACCATGATGCTTTAGAAAATTTTACTTCAGGGAAATTCAGGGATCAAGATTAAATTGGAAAGAAAAATAAAGAATTGTACTGAGCTTTAAGAACATGTTGTGTCTTTCAGTCCTAGGTCTCAGAGTCTGTTACTTCTCATCTCCTGGGATAGCGCACAGTTAGACTAAAAGTCTCACAAGAGACATGTGTGAGAACACTCACTTTAGTGTCTAGATGTTAGAAGTAAACTGCAAAATAACGAATAATAAAGAAATGCTGGCTTCTAGACGATTCTGGGTGGTGAAGTTTCTAGTTTGGCTTCTGTATGAATTTTTTTAAATTTGCTGGCTCTGATTTTTCTGATTTGGCTTTTTATTTAAAACCTCATGGTTCTCACACAGGTTTATTGACTGGAGTAGTGGTGGACTCTGGAGATGGTGTAACTCACATTTGTCCAGTGTATGAAGGCTTTTCTCTCCCTCACCTTACCAGGAGACTGGATATTGCTGGAAGGGATATTACCAGATATCTTATCAAGGTAAGCAAAAGAAGGTATCATAGAAGTTAGCTTTTGTAATTTGAATTTACTAACTTAACGTATTTCAGTATATTCTCTCAGGATCATAGCAGATCTTCTGCACCACTAGGGGAGTGTCCCATTTACCCCATTATTCATATAAAAGTCCATGTAAGGTTTATATACATGCTCTCTGATACAGTAATGAGAATAGAATACATCATTACATAATTATGTTTGCTATTCCTGAGGACTTGGTAGTGAGATAGAACTGAGACCTTAAAACTTTTTGAACAATAGAGGCAGCCTTTTCTGCCATAAAACTTTTTTTTGAGGGGCGTGTGGGTGGCTCAGTCGATTAAGTGTCTACCTTGGGCTCAGGTCAATCTCAGGGCCCTGCAGTGGAGCACCACGTCAGGCTCGCCCCTCAGCGGGAAGTCTGCTTCTCCCTCTCCCCCCACTCCCCACCCTCCAGCCCCCCATTCATGCTTGCTCTCTTTCTCAAATAAATGAATCTTTAAAAAAACCAAACAGTACTCTGGTTTCTCTTCAGATCGTATAAATCTTTCGCCTTTTACTAAAAAAGCCAAACAAACAGGGCCCAGTTGTACCAGACTTCAATATTTAGTAGTTTTCGTGGAATAGATCCAGTTTTTAGTGTTTCCTATATATTAAAGTTTACTTCTGACTCTAATTAGTTATAATTTTCTTTAAAACATTGCTAGAGAAAGTATATAAGGCTGTTAATTAGAGGCATGTGTATTTTGTTAATATTGAAAAAAATAGTTTAGTTAGTCTATTCTCTCCAGGTCAGTGGTTCTCAACCAGGGGTGATGCTGCTGCCCCTTCCTCCCCTCCCCGCCTGCCCCTCCCCACCAGCCAGGGACATTTTGCAATGTATGGAGACGTGTTTTGGTTGTTCCAGCTATGCAGGAATGCTACTAAACATCCTACAGTGAACAAGGCAGCCCCCACAACAAAGAATCGTTAAAGTCCACGATATCATTGGTGCCACTGATATCTGTGCAGTAAAATGGGGTTGTCTCTCTCTATCTTGACATCGAGTTCCTTTCTTCTCATTTAGAGTAATAATGAGATTAAGCTAATGAGAACTACAATACTGTCATTCCAGGCCAAAATTCTGTCTGAGGAATGTCCGAGGGTTTTCTCACAAGGATTAGGGGATTAATTTTTAAAGTTTTTATATGAAAAGTCCCAATTTGTTCGTGATGCATATTATGGGTTTCTTTTTTTTTTTCTGCTAACTGCTTGAATTCTCATCATTTATTTGATTGACAAATTCTCTTGCCCGTCTACTATATGTCAGACATAATACTAGAAGTTAGGGATGAAATTTTCTAAGATCTAGGGATATTTCATGAATATGGCATTGATTGAGCAAATGGCAGATTATAGGAGTCTAGCACTAAAATATTCATCAAAATATTTTGATTATTTATCAAAATCATCTAAACAGCACTCAAGAGTAATTTTTTTTTTTAAAGATTTTTTTATTTATTTGACAGAGAGAGACACAGTGAGAGAGGGAACACAAGCAGGGGGAGTGGGAGAGGGAGAAGCAGGCTTTCCGTGGAGCAGGGAGCCTGATGCAGGGCTTGATCCCAGGACCCTGGGATCATGACCCGAGCCGAAGGCAGACGCTTAACGACTGAGCCACCCAGGCGTCCCTCAAACAGTAATTTTTTTTAAACTAGCTTGGTTTTTTTTTTTTTTAGCTTGTTTTACCCATTTATTATTCATGAACAGTTAATTCTTTCACTCTATGAAACTGAACTATAAATCCTCTTAATGGAAAGTACTATTCCCATTTCTGAAATACTCAGTAAGACCTAAGGATCCACTGTCCATTGCATTTGTTACTGACATTAGCTATTTAGTGAGCACTGAGAGCTTGCCCAGAGTTGAACTCATTCAGATTAACTGTGACTTTACTGCTGTTTTTTTGTACCAGCTGCTGCTATTGCGAGGATATGCCTTCAACCATTCTGCTGACTTTGAAACAGTTCGCATGATTAAAGAAAAATTGTGTTATGTGGGGTATAATATTGAGCAAGAGCAGAAGCTGGCCTTAGAAACCACAGTATTGGTTGAATCTTACACAGTAAGTATTTCCAGTACTTAATATATACGAGGTTTTAAAATCGTGCACCATGATTATTGGTGTGTGCTTAAGTAGGTTTTCTTAGAATCAGTATTTTTGTTTTGAGTTGTTAGAGTATGTATATGTGTGACCTTAAATGTCTTTCTTCAACAAGATTCTTTGGTTTAGTTATTTTAGGACACCATATAATGTGAAATAAGGCAAGAATCATAAATTACTTTTCTACTTAGGATATAATTAGATAAGAGATGTTATTTTGAGATTCTGATATCTGAAATAGCGTTTTTCAACATGTGTTTTACAGAATATTATTTCCCTGAGATGTTATTAAGTAATTTCACAAAAATTAAAGTGGAGTTTATATTGTCCAGTAAGTTTGGGAGTCAGTTTCACTTTACTGAAGAACTTCTCAGAACCTTTGATGTGCTAATATGTGTATGCCTGTGGGAATATGGTAAACCGCCTGTTTCTCAACCTTATTAGACTACAGGGTTCCAGCATTTCGTGAGACTTGTGTTCTCTGCGAAGCATACTTTGGGAAGTGCTCATCCTGTATTATTGCTCTAATAATTCAGTAGGTGGCAGTCTTTTCCTGACTTTGTATTTTCTTAATGAGATGTTCAAAACAGACGTTAACTTGAAAGTGAAACTAATAAGACTGAGAACCCAGTTATACGTTACACCAGGAGAGTTGATTCTACCTGAATTTTTAACGTTTTGTTATCTTAAGTCTATTGTATTCATCTGGGTATAAAGCACTTCCATATCTCCTCTTTGATCTAGTTAGTATTAAAATGAAATCAAGTAATAGGCAATAAAGGCAAGTATTCTTAAACCATTTGATTCATGTAAGCTCTACATATCACAAATATGTATGAAATAGTCATTTTAAAAATAATTGTTAATTTTTATAAATTATATTGTTTTAAGCAATAGTGATCCAAATAATTGACAAGCAACTTAATCTCCAGATTTGCCCTGGGGATTCTTTTCTGAAGCTTTTTTGATAGTTCCTCTAGATTTGTAGTTTTTCATCTACCTGACTTACTTGTAAGAAAATGGCATGAGACAAAAGATGAGGGAACTAGAAATATAAGACATGTGTTATTTAATTTCTCTCCTCCTTTCTCAAAGAATTTGAGGTGGGTTACAAAAATATATACAGATGATCCTTGGGGCGCTGACCCCCTATGCAGTGTATAACTTTTGACTCCCTCAAAACTTAACTACTAATAGCCTACTGTCATTGCCTTGCCAATAACATAAACAGTTGACTGACAGATATTTTGTATGTTATATGTATTATATATATTACATACCATGTTCTTACAATAAAGTAAGGTAGGAAGAAAAGAAAATGTTACTAAGAAAATCATAAGGAGGAGAAAATATATTTACAGTACTGTACTATATTTATTGAAAAAAATCCAAGTGTCGATGGACCTGTGCAGTTTAAACCACGTTGTTATAGGGTCAGCTGCACAACAAATAAAACAGTAGACTGATGAAACTTACAAGTAAATGAAGAGGGATAAGGGCTGACAAAGAATAGGATAAGATCTGGTGCAAAAAAATGAGAGTCCTACAGTCATAACAGGTAGGGTCTAGAGGTGGGTAGCTCCTAGGCTGGGTGGCCCCATGCTAACCAGCAGCCAGAGTATGGAAAGAAACCATACCGTCAGAGAGGCTGAAGTATGAGCTACAGAGGTTTTGCCGATAACCGTGTACTGTGTATAAAGTTTTTCCAGATATTTTGGGTGATTTCATGTGGTTTCTAAACTCACCTGATGGGTTTTTATTTTTTTAAGGGTAAATGTTTGAATGGGTATCCTTGGGGGTTGTTTGTTTGTTTTTTTAATTTGATACAATTTACAAATTGTATCAATTTGAAAAATGTGCTTGCTTTTGCTCCTATCTGTAAACATGGAGAAAATGTTTTAAAAAAAAACTTGCTTTGGGGCGCCTGGCTGGCTCAGTTGGTTAAGCGACTGCCTTCAGCTCAGGTCATGATCCTGGAGTCCCAGGATCAAGGCCCGCATCGGGCTCCCTGCTCAGCAGGGAGTCTGCTTCTCCCTGACCCTCTTCCCTCTCATGCTCTGTATCTCTCATTCTCTCTCTCTCAAACAAATAAATAAAATCTTTAAAAAAAAAAAAAAAACTTGCTTTGTGGTACTTTGTCATACTGGAAAGTCACTTTTTGGAATCCAGATACAATTACAGTAATCATATTATTATAAATATACTGTTAGAAATGTTAATGTAAAACTAATTCTGGTATCTCCTATGGAAATGGGTCAAATGCCGGCATAACACAAGCATGCTTATAATTTAGGTCAGTCCAGTGAATTGTGAGGTGGTTGTAAGAGAGGGTGGGGCACCTGCATGGCTCAGTTAGTTAAGCATCTGTCTTCAGCTCAGGTCATTATCACAGGGTCCTAGGATCAAGCCCCAAGTTGGGCTCCCAGCTCAGCGGGGAGTCCATTTCTCCCTCTCCCTCTGTCCCTCCATCCCACTCATGTGCGCACTCTCTCTCTCTCATTCCCTTAAATAAATAAAATCTTTAAAAAAAAAGGGGGGGAAGTGTTTTGGGGGGCGCCTAGCTGGCTCAGTCGGTGGAGCATCCAACTCTTAATCTCGGGGTCATGAGTTCAAACCCCACGTTGGGCATAGAGCCTACTTCAAAAAATTAAAATTAAAAAATAAATAAGTAGAGGGAGTTTTTACTTAACATTTCTCATTTAATTAAATATAAACATGATGTAACTTAAGAGTTTTCTGCATGCAGAAAAGTGGCTCAGTAGGTTAAGCATTCGACTCTTGATTTCAGCTCAGGTCATGATCTCATGGCCGTGCGATTGAGCTGCGCATCAAGCCCTGTGTTGGGCTGCGTGCTGGGCATGGAGCCTGGTCAAGATTCTCTCCCTCTCCCTCTGCCCACCCCCCCACCCCCATGTGCGTGTGCATGGGCTCTCTCTCAAAAAAAAAAATCTTATTAAGTTAAAATTATATTTATCCATTATTTAAAATTCAATAGGGTCTAGAGGGGAGCCTGGCTGGCTCAGTCCGTAGAGCATGTGACTCTTGGTCTTGTGATGGGTTATGAGTTCGAGCCCCACTTTGGGTATAGACTAGATTACTTAAAATCTTTAAAAAAATTTTTTAATAGGGTCTGGTAAGTAGGATACAGTAGAATTGCTTAATAAAAAGTAGTCTTAAAAGTAGTCTAGATCAGTGTCTCTTAAACTTTTTTGATCATAAAACATTTTTTGGATTAAATGATTTGACAAGTTTTACACATGATATAAAGTGTTTTGATGGCAAAATAGTAAAGTTTCACAGTGTAATTATTTGTTAAAAGAAATTACTTAAAAATTTTAACTGAATGTGTCTATGCTACATGGTAAAAATATCCATAAAATAAATCACAAATGTGTTAAAATAGAGAAGCAGCATTGACACCAGCAGTAATCCAAATGCAGTGGTTTATTAATGCTTCCTTTTTATGCTTAGCTGCACACAGTGATGGAACATAATGCACTCATGCATTGGTGATTTTTCCAAGAAATTCCTGATGTGTTGGAGCATGGCATGATGGCATGTCTGCGTTTAAAAACAAAACAGCATGATAATAACTATCTAAATGTATTTTATTTTACTTTTTTTTTCTTTTCAAAAATTTATTTTAGGAGAAACGTGTTGCTGATAATGATTTTGATTATTGAACAGATGTGTTTAAAGTACCAGTGTTCTAGAGAACACTGGGAATTTTTTTTAATGTTTTGCTGACTAATACCTGGTTATTCTTGGTTTCTAGCTCCCAGATGGCCGCATTATCAAAGTTGGTGGAGAGAGATTTGAAGCACCAGAAGCTTTATTTCAGCCTCACTTGATCAATGTTGAGGGAGTAGGTGTTGCTGAATTGCTTTTTAACACAATCCAGGCAGCAGACATTGATACCAGGTACATCATAAATGATGGTTTCAAAGTTATTTAACAGTAGATGGAGTATGTATAATTGAAATGACCAAGTTGTCTATTACCTCATTCATGGTTTTGAACTGATAAGGCAAATGAATTTTTTGAGGGTGGCACTGGATGTTGAATATATATCATTGTGTCCCAGAAACCACCTTAAGGGGCGCCTGGGTGGCTCAGTTGGTTAAGTGACTGCCTTTGGCTCAGGTCATGATCCTGGAGTCCTGGGATCGAGTCCCGCATCGGGCTCCCTGCTCAGCAGGGAGTCTGCTTCTCCCTCTG